GGCAGAGCTTCTGCTCAGATGAAGAAAGTTGCCTAATAAAAGTAATAATAACTGAGAATTTTAGAGAGAGGGAGAGGAAGAATAGTTCTCATTTTACAGAAGAAAAGAGAGGAGAGAAATCTTTTTTGGCTGTGATCTATAAACTGGGATGGAGGTTGTGTTTATAGGGTTCAGGGTCTTAGCCGTTGCAAAAAATCCAGCGTAACGTTCGCACTGATCGTGCACTAGTTACCCGCATGCAGTCGTTATGCACGTTGCTAATTATTGAGTCAAAAAACATGTAAAATGTGTAAAAAAGAAGCTGAAGAAATAAAAAGAACGCGTGTGGTGTGCGTCGTGGCGCGAGCGCGTGTTATGTAAAACCCAAACAATACAAAACCCAAAATGCTACTCAAAGCCCAATAAGAGGAGAACCGTTGTAAACCCTCTACTATTCATCTCCTTAGTCCATGTGGGACTATTCACAAAGACAAATTTGCCTTTTCTCCAACAACATAGCCAACATGAAGAACGAGAATTTGGACAACCGAGAGCTTGAAGCTTGGCTAGGGTTTCCACTCCAAGGTAAATTGGAAAGTATGAGGGTATAGAGGGCTGAGAATGAGTGGTGTTAGGGGCACACCCCCTACCATACCACCAACCACACCCCCTCTCCTAGTGCTACAGTAAACCGGGCCCCACATGGGATTTTAAAATTTTAAAATCCCATGTGGGGCCCGGTTTACTGTAGCGATGGGAGAGGTGGGTGTGGTTGGTGGTGTGTTAGAGGGTGTGCCCCTAACATTATTTGGTGAGAATTTGGACAATTGGGCGGCTTGAGGATCTTAAGCCTGCCTTCATGCTTGCTATCCTGAAAAAAACTCTTGAGAGATAAAAATGAGAGAATTTGATAAGATTTAGAAGGAAAGGGTTAAATATAAAATAGGATAGTCTAATTGTAATTATAATAAACTATAGAGGTATAGAAGTTGAAGAAAATATCACTGGTATATACTCAGAATATTTTAACGACTAACTAACGAGGAGAGCACGGACATGCAACCTTTTAAAAATCTTTATAGCATTTAACTGTAAAGTTGTAGAACACGGGGGTATTTAAAAGTGCCAATTTTTAAAATACGGTTTTTCTATAGAGTGCTCATTGGCACTCTATAAGAGAGGAGAGAGATAGAGAGAAATGAATAGCTCATGGGCCCTTTGATTTGCATTAATTTTTATGCATAATTCATTTCTCTCTATCTCTCTCATTTCTTATAGAATGTCCATGGGCACTCTATAGAAAAACCGTTTAAAATATTGGGTCACATTTATTTGCTCACTTCTTAATACAGGGATCTCTTATCTACATGTCGTGCAAACTTTGGAACATTTATTTGCAATTTACCCTTTTTTGTTTGGATTTGGATCCTCTCCACTACAAAAAAGTAGTGGAGAGATCACTGCTTTTAATCTCAATCGTTGATATCCTCTCCACTACAAAAAAGTAGTGGAGAGATCACTGCTTTTAATCTCAATCGTTGATTATTTAGTAGGCGGTTATGATACAATCTAAATCTAACACTTACCATACCCCCGTGTATTGCACTCATTCATAATTTGCACTAAAAAAAATCACAACCATTAACTAGATAATCAATGGCCGTGATTATGTAGTAATCCCTCCACTATTTTTTTTTATAGTGGAGATGATCCGAATCCTTTTTGTTTTGGTACTCCAACCTTGTCCCATATACCGTCGAGAGCTACCATTTACGGACTGAAATAGGGGGGCAGGATTTGTTTGTTAGCGCACATACTATGATCTGTTAAATCGTTTTAATTGTTGAGTGGTGTTAGGGGCACACCCCCAACCACACCCTCCACCACACCTACTCTCCCTCTATAGTGCATTGGGCCCCACATCAATTTTTTTAAAAAAATTTGATGTGGGGCCCAATGCACTATAGAGGGAGAGGATGTGTGGTTGAGATTGTGGTTGGGGCTGTGCTCCTAACATTTTTATTAATTGTTGCTGGAACCATTTAAGAATGTCGTTGGGTAGGAGGATTGGAATCTGCACCCTGATTTCCGCAGCACACATGCATCGACAGCATCAAGGCCAATCATAATTAATTATTGCCATCCTGTTTTGCTAGATTTGGCCGTTTGGCTTGCACTTTTATAGCTAGCACCCTGTCTTTAATTTACATTGTGGACAGTTTTGTTTGCCAACGGGAATATTTGCAGTTCGGCCCCTTTTACCCAATCACTTATCCAAGAAGCCCAGCCATAAGTTTGAATAGTTTTAGAATTTGTATAGGATCCTGTTATTATATTTACCATATTTCTATATCTAAACAGGCAGTCACATGGACTTGTATATGATATGTGTTGTCCATTTGGCATGATTTGCATCTTAATCATGGAAGCCGTACACCTGCCTTCCCTTCCAGTCTTTAACAAATACTAAAAATCCTTGGTTTAATTGAACAATCATGTCAACAAATTGTTCCGGTTCATCGGAGATGCGAAGGACAAAACAAGTCAAATTCTTAATTCCATAAAGAGAGACAAAAGCAGCCAAGATAGAAAAAGAGCTCTGTACCATAAATTTCCAATAAAGTGGATTTTTGGGGGTTTCCGTTCAGGGCTTTGCCAAGATTCCATATTCAAATTCTCACATAGATACAATCCAGGCTTCTGGTCATAAGTTTGGTCCCTACACCGAAAAGCATTGTTGATATCTGATCTACGGATTAAGGAGCCACCGAACTTGATCTGTATCGTAGGACCAAGTTCAAAGTAAGAACCAGCTAAGCACAAATGGTCCACTACTCGCGCCACAATTCACATCATACGGGCCGAACTGATAAAGACATATAGTATTCATGAAACTTTGGTCTCCTATAGGCCCTTAGAGGGGGGCCGAGGGGGAGAAACTTAAAGCGCTCCCCCCTGTTTTCTTAAGCATTGCATTTTGAACATATCTTCCTTTAAAGTATAATACATTTGATTTGATTATCGCATGCTTAAAATTAGAAATCATATCCACTGCTTTATACTTAAAAGATATTGTTCGTGATACAGTAATTTTTGCAGCATAAACAGTAAATTCACTCCTCTACACGCAAAGGAAGATTCAAAGATTTATTGTTCATGCCACAGTAAGTTCTTCCCCTACTTCCTATTTCCTCCTCCCCACTCTCCTATTCTTTCCCTTTTAGAAAATCCTCTCTTGTTGTGGGGAAAAAGTAAATTAATTCCATAGACGTACTTTTCCTTGTACATCTCTTAAGTTATTTTAGATTAATCCCTCAAATAAATAGTACAACTATCAACTAAAGCAATTACTTTAAAACAAATCGTGAGAATTGAGGAATCTAACAAAAATGCCGATGATTTGAGTGACTAATTCCCTTCCAATTGCTATTTTTACCCTTTATTTGAAGGACTAACTTCAAAATAAAAATTGGGGGACCTAATAGAAATTTCAATGATTTGAGGTAATAATTCCAAAAATAACTTAAGATTTGAGGGACCTAATAACAGTTTCAATAATTGGAGGGACTAATTCAAAATATGAAAGGTTTAAGGGTATCAGAAAAGTAGAAAAACTAAACAGAGAGACGTAGGGGATTTTAAAAGAAATTTATGAAAAAAAATTCAAAAACTCATAAAAAGAGATGAGCTAGCAATTACCATTTCAGAGGAGTAAAAAAGTCCCATTGAGAAAGAAAAAGGGTAGTTCTCTGGGAGATTTATTTTAAAATAGGCTAGTTTTAATAAGTTTTTAGCAAAACCGACCGTTTTCTTAAATATTTAGCAAAACGTTCTCTTTTTGGCTAGCTCACCAAAGCTGGCCAAAAAGATGTCGATTTTGCTGAATTCAATTCTCGAAACACACGAGACTAGTAGTCTCATGTGCTTAGTGACTGCTAATTAGTCACTAAACAAGAAGCTCAAAACCCATAAGACTAATAGTCCCATGGATTTTTTTGAACTTTGTGAGTTAGATCTACTCAAACTTGCAGCCTCTAATAAACCCAAAAAT